GGGGGGTTCTCCGGGAGTACGGGGTCCGGGGGCCTGCATTGCCGGCAGTAAGTCAGATCTGTTCCCGGTGCATGTTGGCCTCCGCCAAGGCTGCCTTTTGTCACCGGTTCTGTTCACTGTGTTTATGGACAGAATTTCTAGGCACAGCCAGGGGCTGGATGGGGTCCGGTTCGGGGACCAGAGGATTTCATCTCTGCTTTTTGCGGATGATGTCGTCCTGCTGGCTCCAACGAACCAGGACCTGCAGCATGCACTGGGACGGTTTGCAGCCGAGTGTGAAGCGGCTGGGATGAGAATCAGCACCTCCAAATCCGAGGCCATGGTGCTCGACCGGAGAAAGGTGCCTTGCCCTCTCCAGGTGGGTGGAGAGGTCCTTCTAGGGGTGGGCGATATGGCCTAAAATTCATATTGCGGTATAATTTGGGACACAGGCGGTAGACGGTATATATTGCGGTATAATTTGGTGTGTGAATTTCAATGTAGGTCTAGCAGGTTCTTGCATAAAATAGTCAAGATTGTGTAAGGTGAATTAAAGGACACCCAGTCGAACATTGACCAGCAGACCAGGATACGTAAACATGCCCTCCTGAGCATGACCCATCTTGAGCCACATCTAAGGGACGACCAGGTCAACCAGAGGACATCATCGGTCACCGAGACCATAAGTGTCAACCAGGGCAATAAACTGAGCCCAGAATAAACATCTTTGTACCTTTCTGCCCGGCAGAGATCAAAGATCACAACTCTGCTCTCACTCCCGGGACATTCCTGTCCCTGGACAATCAACAACTCACCCACGGCGTTCTGGCGCCCCCCAGTGGACACTGAACATTATCACACCCGGGACGGACATTCTAAACCAGCACTCCTGGATTCACTATTCCGACAATCTGTACTGTGCCCTACACGTGTGTATCATTGTCAAGTAATGTAGATGCGGTGTGTGCCTGTACATGTGTTATGAATGTCTGTATTAATCCTGCGTTTTGCCATTATAACATGTCTGTTGTGAAGGATGTCCAGGGAGGCGCACAAGGATGAAGTCACGGACGCGCCCCCCTTGGAAGTCAATAAAAACACACACAATGCAGAGATACTTTCTCTTGGTTCCCCTTGCAATCACCGTAACAACTTTCCCTTTGGGTACGTGTCTCTTACACGGCCCACGCCCGCCACCACCTCGGGCCTATACATCAGGACAGCCGCCACTCTCGCTGTCGGAGACGAGGACCTCCATCGCCAGCCACTTTCGGGCTCTCTGGACACCCCGCACGCAACGCCATTCTAGACCGTGTTGTGTGTGGAACCCACGTTTGGATCCGACCTGCTGGCTCCCTCCTGCTCCCCGTTCGGACAAAGAACACGCGGACGAGAACCTCGCTTTTTCATCTCCATTCTGCATCCCCATCCTTCCCGCTGCCCTCCGTCGCCACTACCTCCTTTGGACTGCTCAAAGTAAGACTGTTCTTTGTTGGAGTGTGATTCAAATGATGTGTATGGCAATCTTTGCTTAATGTGACCAGAAACCCTTTTCGTTGATATTTTCTATTTTCATTTTTGTAGTCAATAAACCCACGTTAACTTTAACTCAAATCATTTAAGCGTCGTGTTTTAAATCTTGGGTATCCCTGGCTGATTTTCGTACTCAAAACCATCAGATTTGTGATACTGGTATCGAGGCAAATATCCCTTGGTCTGTCGCAGACTCTCAATGTCTGCTGGTGCCCTAAATAAATAAGACAGATCCCTTGGTGGAACGGCGAGTTTCTGATCCGGAGACTAGCCGCTCCACACTACAATTTCTAGTTATCCTACAATTGTTACTTATTTATATATTATAATCTAGTGTATATATTTGTAGTATAGTTGTGAGACAAATGCTGTAACATACATTATTTATGTATGTTACAGTAAAGACCATTTACTGTAAAAGCAAATAAAAAAGAAAGACATATGTATTCATTTAAAATATTTAAAAAACTCACAAATGTTGAAATCAAAGCCTGTAGCAGTTAGAAATGGTCATTATTTAAAGTGTCTGAGAGTTTTGTGCGTGTACATGGCTTCAGTAAAAGCTATTGTTTGTTTACAAAGCTGGTCTTGACATTTGTTGACGCTTCCTGAGCGTTTTTCTCTGCACTTGCAGTGAACTGGATGATTCAATGGATTTATCTGCCTTAAAACAGCACGTTGGATTTGAACAATTGATGTAAATGGTCATTCTGGCACAATTAATTTTGTTTAACAAAGTAGCTTTCGTGAGCTATTGACCGCGGAGGTCCGAATCTGACGCTAACTTTCCCAAACTTCTGATGTGATGATGCTGTGGACACGGCACACGCATGGATCTATTTTGGCTCACGCTGGCGCTTCGGGCCTACACGATTGGCCTAAAGGTAGACTCTTAAACTGTGATTACTGTGTGTGTATTTACCTCTGCTGGGGCCGCTGTGACAACAATACAGAGACAGAAACACGGTGTGAATGCCGTGCTGTTGTTCGCCGTTTCCAGTGGTGTCTGCTTGGCTAATGCTGCTAGGCTAATGTGCAAGGCTAATGCTGCTGAATGCCGGTTTGTTTTGATGCTCTCTGCTGGCGTCAGAGCCTGCGCAATTTGATGACGTAATGACCTATTGCAATATGCCGGTATAACAAAAATCTCTACCGTGGGCCAAATTTATATCGCATACCGCTTATACCGTATATATCGCCCAGCCCTAGGTCCTTCCTCAAGTGGAGGAGTTCAAGTATCTCGGGGTCTTGTTCACAAGTGAGGGAAGAATGGAGTGTGAGATTGACAGGCGGATCGGTGCAGCATGCGCAGTGATGCGGTCGCTGTATCGGACCGTCGTGGTGAAGAGGGAGCTGAGCCGAAAGGTGAAGTTCTCGATTTACCGGTCAATTTTCGTTCCCTCCCTCACCTATGGTCATGAGCTTTGGGTAATGACCGAAAAAAAGAGATTGCGGATACAAGCGGTCGAAATGAACTTCCGCCGCAGAGTGGCTGGGCGCTCCCTTAGAGATAGGGTGAGGAGCTCGGTCACACGGGAGGAGCTCGGAGTAGAAGCCGCTGCTACTCCACGTCGAGAGGAACCAGTTGAGGTGGCTCGGGCATCTGTTCCGGATGCCTCCTGGACGCCTCCCTAGGGAGGTGTTCGGGGCACGTCACACCAGGAGGAGGCCCCAGGGAAGACCCAGGACACGCTGGAAAGACTATGTCTCTCAGCTGGCCTGGGAACGCCTTGGGGTCCCCCCGGACGAGCTGGAGGAAGTGTGTGTAGATAGGGAAGTCTGGGTGTCTCTGCTTAGACTGCTGCCCCCGCGACCCGGCAACGGATAAAGCGGAAGAAAATGGATGGATGGATAGAATAAAATGGTAAATTATGCGTTTCCCACATTTCCGTGTGCCTTTGAACGGATCTGGGCGCTAGCTGCAGTTTACTAGATGTATTTTTTTCTCTGAGCTTTTTTTCCTGCCATTTCTCGTAATAAACCTTGAACACAAACTGTTTACATGTTTATTTACGCTATTTGACATCCGCAAACCGAACTTCCGGACGAATCCGATTTTGGGAGGACTCCAGCAGCCACACATGGATCTATTAAGCTTAGCGTACATCGGACTGGCAACTGATTATATCCGTCTCATACGAGTTGCTGCCCCGCACACATCGACAATCTGACGAAAACGGGCAACTCCCAGTAGCAGACCAGTCTCGGGAATAACAGCGCGTACATCGACAGCAACTGGCCTCAACTACAGTGTGTTTTCTGACATAAACTGTTGCGGGCTCGCAATACACGCAATACACACACGTTGTCGGAGCGGCGCATGGAGCGCGCACATCGGGTCATATCTCCGAAACTGAGGACAACTAGTTGCCGAAAAGTAGAAGACGGGCAACTGACTGAAACTGGAGACCGACTGATCATCTCCAGTTGTAAGAGCGCGCACATCGACCGATTTCGGCAACTGATCATCTCCCACCATCTCCTCTCAGTTGCCAAAAGCCGCCTTGCAACTAGTTGTCCCCAGTTTCTCTGTCGATGTACGCTAGGCTTTAGCAACCACATCGCACATAGTGTAAGCGCAGGGTTCGGGTCGGTGGGGAAAAATTCTAAGCTTCGGCCAGAAACCAAACCCCGTCAAAAAAGCCAATATTCGACTGATCCGTGTTAAGGAAAGAATGAATGGGGCCATGTATCGTGAGATTTTGAGCCAAACCCTCCTTCCATCAGTGAGAGCTTTGAAGATGAAACGTGGCTGGGTCTTCCAGCATGACAATGATCCCAAACACAACGCCCGGGCAACAGAGGAGTGGCTCCGTAAGAAGCATTTGAAAGTCCTGGAGTGGCCTAGCCAGTCTCCAGACCTCAACCCCATTGAAAATCTATGGAGGGAGTTGAAAGTCCGTGTTGCTCGGCGACAGCCCCAAAACATCACTGCTCTCGAGAAGATCTGCATGGAGGAATGGGCCAAAATACCAGCTACTGTGTGTGCAAACCTGGTGATGACCTATAGTAATCGTTTGACCTCTGTTATTGCCAACAAAGGTTATATTACAAAGTATTGAGTTGAATTTGTTATTGACCAAATACTTATTTTCCACCATAATTTACAAATACATTCTTTAAAAATCCTACAATGTGACTTCCCCGTATTTTTTTTTCACATTCTGTCTCTCACAGTTGAAGTGTACCTATGATGAAAATTACAGACCTCTGTCATTAAGTGGGACTAAAAGTTGCACTAAAATACACAGTACTTTATACTTTTGTTTTATTAATATTATGTTCAAGATAGAGATTTTATACTTGTTCTTTGATGCTAGAGTTTTTTTATTTTTTTATTAGTATAGCTATTGTTGACTTATCTTGTGCTGTGTGCTCCTCATTCCTACTGTACTATAACTTGTGATGCAACTCTGAAATTTCCCCACTGTGGGACGAATAAAGGATTTCTTAATATTGCTAAGTTCTCCTCCCCAATGTTGGTATACCTTTCTTTTCATAGCAAATTTCAGCTGAACATTGTTTCGTATCATCTCGAGGCGAACTTCCCTCTTTTTCCTTTTAATTTCTTCATCCTGTGGTGGAAGAAAGTCAACATGTGACTCAACAGTGAAATCAGGGTTCACTTTTTTCTCTCTAAAAAAAACTGTCTTTAAATGACAAGGTCAACCAGTTAGAACATGGACAAAAGTTGTTGTCTCCACTTTCATAAATGCAAGTAATGTAGCAGCACTTTCCTTCAGTTTGGACAGCAGATCTCTCTCTGCTTTCTTTTGGACAAAGTCAGTAATCCAGTCAGGTTCTTCCGAGCTACTGCTTGTGCTCTGAGCTGAGGCTGAGGGGGCGGCCTGGTCCTTCAGCAGAGCGGCCGCCTCTTGCTGCTTCTTCTTCTGGAAGTCTGAGAGCCAGCTGAGCGCTCCACAAATTAGGCTCAGAGATTTACCCTAAAAATACAAGTAAATTAATTTGTTGAAGAGAAAACTAGAATTAGCAAGACTCCCATCTACTGGTAGGGGGCTAAAATACACTCAGCTGAGTGAAATCTAAATCTAACATGGCATGAAAAAACATGCAGCGATCAGTAACATTGTTTGACGAGAAAAATACTAATATTCATTTAGAGGTTAGAGTTGTAAACTCTAGATTTTGTTTCAGCTTTGGTGGGGAAATTCATTGGGGCCTGAAACTACACCTATTGACTGGGGGTCCTGTGGATCTCCCCCGGGAAACAATTTTGTAATCCTGCCTTTTATACTAATCTCAGCTGTCTAGAATAGAAGAGGATTTTTTCTTTACCCCCATCAGAGCAACAGAATAGTCTTCGAACTTTGGACAAATTATATCTATTTTCCACAATAACATTCCCAAACACAAATTTACCCAAAAGGCAATGTATATCTATGCGGATTAAATACTGTAAGTAGCCTCATCAGTGACATTGCACTGCAGAATCAAACAATACTCAAAACAGCACACAAGAATCTACTGACTGCCACATAGAGGCTTAGGAAATAAATGCATATGAATACACAGGAGACATGGATTTGGCAGATTTTGGTGAAATATTTTAACAGATATATATTTATGCAAATGGTGTCATAAGTCTTCTATAGCTTGCCTGTGAATACCATGCTACTGTGTACAATTCAATAATTCCAAACTGCACAAAACCTGGAAACTCCGGATGACATAATGGGCAGGGACAGCAAGGCGATGGTACAAATCTATTTGATAAAGAACATAGATGGAATTCTATATTGAACATTGATGGAACGAGAGATCGACTAATATACTTTTCAGCTGATGTACAGGGTATGTGTATTTAGATCTATGGCCTAACCCACCATTGCAAGGCAATTCAGAGATAAACTATTAAAAACTGCAGTTAAATGCCATGTCCACAGTTTAATCTAATATATTAAATCCATGACATTCTCTTCAATTTCAAAGCCCTGAGTGACTTCCTTAAACCAGTATTATAGAGAACGATAAGAACTCACCGTTCCAGTGGGGCTTTCAAAGATTCCCACTTTGCCGTCCTCCAGAGTGCGGTACAGAGCCTGCATAAACTGCTCCTGTATGGAGTAAGGCTGGTATGGGAAAGGGAAGCTGCTCCTGCCCTCCTCCATCTTCAACAGTGTTAGCTATTAAATGAATAAAAAGTAATATAAGTGAATAAATCTAAGAACAAATCTGGGTCAAATATATAAAAAGGGTTTGTAATTTAAAAAACTGAGCAATTACTCAAAAGAATAATTGTAAATGCCTTTGTTCCCACTGATGACAGCTATCGTTGTGTCCTTGTGTCCTTGTGTCGTGTCCCCCCTAGTTTCTAATAATAATAATAATAATGCATTGGTTCATACCATCGTTGGAATTTGATTGATTACAGCATTCATCTGTACATCATAATACTATACCGATGCGAATTTTGGTTAATTCCACTGCATAGATTTGTTTTTGGATTGCATGCGTTGTTATGTAACGAAGAACGTTTTCTAATGTATTGAAAAAACCTATAATCACATGATAAGCAGTAGCTTTGAGCACAGTGAGCAGTCATTTCTATCCTTTCGCAGTTACCATCTAAGCTCGGGAAAACCAGAAAAGTTATAGCGCTGCGTTTAACAATCATCAACAACGCAGAAGAGTGTGGATGTCGAAACTCACCAAAACACTCACCTTATCTTTGTTGCTCAAAACAAGCAGCATACTCAGCCCGCGCCAAATGACAGCTCTCTGCACACGTGCACAGGCACCAGCCAATGGAAGCGTAACCGGACGTATGGCGTTTGTTTTATTGTAGAGCGGTGTCCGAATGTGAACAAATGATTCAAGGTTGATTAGGACACCGCGTTTTGAGCTGTTCTCTGTGCAGTAAACACACATCCCCAGCGATCATGTTTCCCTGGTTCTTTCCAGAAGGGAATAAAGTTGTAGACACGAAGCCTGCAGCCAAAGGACTGCAATAATAGGGCCGCAGAGGCGGATCAAGAATAAAGTTGGGGTATATATATATAAAACTTCTTGCTCTCAACCCCGTTTAGTTCGACCAAGTTTTTACATGCATATATTTTTGGCCTCAGACACATCTTTACATCAGCTTTTTTGGGTGGGAAAAGACAGGATCAGTCCCACCCAGCCAATCAGTCGTCAGCCTGAAGAGTCTCACAGGCTATGCATTTTTTATGAATCAAAACATCTATTTTGTCCCACGAAAATCTAAGCCTAAATTAAAATTAACACAACTCAAACGTAAAATGACTACCAACATTGTGTTGATAAGCTTCAATGACATTAGTGACATGATGTCATTATGGATAGGCAGAACTCAATTTGCATCAAACAGTCATTCGTCTTACTAAACATATATTCTCAGAATGTGATTAATAATCAGATAATAAATTCATAATAAAAGTAACTGTTGAGAGTTGATTTCCACACTGTGATGTCACCAATCAGTAAATGTATAAATAAAAACTAGGATGACATAATAACATCTTGTGATCTCAAATGTAGTGATGTCAACTGTGTTTGAAGGTCCTCTCGCTGGTCTTCTGATGGTCCTCTGGCAGCGGTCTTCTGGTGGGGGGCTCCAAGTCTTCAGCTTCTCCCTCCTTCGTGAAAATCTGGAAAGTTCTGTGCCCTTCTTAACGCACACGCTTGATGCCAAAACACCCCAAACACCGCCACAGTCAGAGAAGTCCCAGAGTGCATCGGATCCTAAGTGCCCCACTCTGAAGGAGGATTGTTGCAACACATTACAGCCCCTCTGTATCTGGGAATACTCGCTTTTTCTGTTAGCACCTGCGGCTAATGCAACTGCAGTAACGAGACTATTGACCAACTAGCGTTAGCATATTAGCACGTGAATAACTGCGGAATCCCGATGACTGCGGACGACCAGGGGAGAGAAGGACTGCACACTATCCCGATGGAAGGAGATGACATCACGGCGAAGAAGGACGGAGGGGTGCTGAAGGTGTGGAAGATGGGAACTACCCAGAACACATGCTGTTAACACGTCTTTGCTAGGCTAAGCTAACGGAGCTACATAAGCTAATTAATATGGATTGAGTAGCCGTGTTCTATGATTGATTTATTTGCATATTTTTTTATCCCATGGGACGTAGTTTTATAAGCACCACCACAGCACATGGGATTTAGGTTAGGTTCGTTGTCGACCAATACAATCAATACGAATTTAAAATGTTACAAAAAGTTAAACCTATCATGCAAATATTTCTAATGTACTTCAAATTGTCGGCACCTAATTGTAAAAAAATAAAAAATAATATGGACGAGAATAGGATAGGGATGTTTATAACCATGGATGTGGTTCTATAGTTCCATGATTCAATAGTTCCATGGCTGTGAATATCAATTTATTTTTGCTAATTGATAAATCTTTTGATTATTAATTAATTAATGGAATAATCTGAAGTCATGCAATCAGAGGATCTGTTTTTATATAATCTTATTGGAAATTAAAAGCAAGACATTTACATAATTTCTGATGATTTAAAGGTCTGTCAGTCTTAAAACTAAGACTGACAGACCTTAAAATAAAAGTAATCCCAACTAATAAATTATTTAATGTCTTGCAGCCCTCTGATGGTAAAGATGCCCATTCTTGGCAAAAGCCCTACACATTTAAGATCTCCCAGAGCGACTCAATGATGACTTGTAATACTATATTGGGAGATAACTAACGGAAGAGTGGAAGAGTAAAAGTGTTTTGCTATATTTCACAATCATATAAATATGGCTAATAGACTTGTTGTATCACTTCACTCACTTTTCTGGGCAGTAATGAATATTCTGCTCCTGTATTCCCCAGCTGGTGAAAAGAGAAGGCACCGGTCAAGAGCTACCCATGATCGGGGATAAAGTCTCTGTACATTATGTGGGCACCCTTCTGGATGGCACGCACTTCGACTCCAGCAGAGACAGAGAGAAGTTCTGTTTTGATTTGGGAAAAGGTTGATATTGGCCTGCTGCACCCACGCCGGGCTTAAGCGTAGCTCCTCACTTTATCGTCTGCTTTCAGGTCAGGTGATAAGAGCGTGGGATATCGGTGTGGCAACTATGAAAGTGGGTGAGGTGTGTCAGCTCATCTGTAAGCCTGAATATGCGTACGGCTCAGCTGGGAGCCCACCCAAGATCCCCCCAAATGCAACCCTGGTGTTTGAGGTGTGTGCAAGAACCAAAGGGCGTTGAAAGCAAATTCAGTTAATTGCATGTTCTATAAGCCGTCCCCCTCTTTTCAGATCGAGCTCTTTGATTTCCATGGAGAAGATGTAAGCACAGATGAAGATGGGGGAATCATCCGTCGTATTATCACTAAAGGACAGGGGTACTCCAAACCCAATGAAGGAGCAGCGGTGGAAGGTAAGTACAAACTATGAAAGGGACAATGGGTCCGTAGTGCTGATAGTGCAGACTGAAAGCTGACGAGGGCTGTCAAATAGGGATGTACCGATCCGATATTCAGTATCGGTATCTGGGGCCGATATTGGTATTTTGTAAGGATCGGATTTGTTAAATATGAAGCCGATTTACGTCACTTTTCAGCATGCTCACGCTTTACGGCTGCCGTAAACGAAATACAATGTAAAACTAGGGCTGGGCGATAAAACGACAACAAGATATATTGCGATAGACACGTGTTCGATATCAATAGAAAACGGGGTCGATAGAATGTTAGTTCAACATCAATCCGTAAGAAAAAACAGGACGAAAACACAGGAAGTAAAGCAGCGTCAGAGGCGCGCGGCATTCTGGGGGATGTAGGCATAGGCTTCTTGACCTATCACAGCCAAGCGTGAACCGCAAAACTTTCTGGGAAATACAAAAACAACAACCGCACAATGCGTAGCGTACATGGATGTAAAGATTGTTTTTCAATGCCGTGTCAATGGTTATGCACGTCCGTGCGAGGCATAGCATGTGCGCTGTGGCAGAGGCAGTGGACACAGAGACCCGATGCATGCGGCGAAAGCAAGAGATCAACTTTTTCCTCCGTGCGGCTATCAGAGAGCGGCCGCACATAGACACAAAACAGGAGAAAAACCAGGACTAAACCAGGATTTCACCAGGACTAACTATGGAGGAGACTGCTTGTGAACATATTCCTCGAGCCTCATTCCCCGTGACTGTAAACAAGGCTGCTAACATGTGTTAGCCGACACGACCAACCTATTTATTCAGGTAAAAATGCAAAATCTTTAATGCTTTGAAAATATTAGAAAAAATTGTATCCGATCGGTATCAGCAAAATCATATTTAAGAATATCAGAATTGGATCGGATTTACAAAAAATCTGGATCGGTACATCCCTAATGTCATTGGGTATTAATCCATACAGAAACAAGCCTCAAAATGTGCTAAAATTTTAAGAATTTTGAACTACAGTATTTGCTTATTATTCTTTACTTCTACTTTTTTCAAGTTCTTTAAACATTGCAGCCTATTGTTGCAAACAATGTACTTTATGTATGGGTGCAGGAAGGGATTTGGACACCGCTCTAGAATGTTAACTCAGGGTGACGACATATCCACAGGAACGGTGTCCCCCTTATCAGCCCTGGTTTAATCGTGGTTTAGCTCATGTTTTGGTTGTTTCCGAGTGTCTTCGTCTTGTTTTCGAAATCAGAATAATTTTTACATGGCAATAAAAAATGCTCAGATTCCTCCTGTTACGAGCGGTTAGGGTTAGTGTGACCACTTTGCTGCTCTGATTGGTTGCAGCACGTGCGTGGAGCGAGGATGTTCAGTGAATCTCATCTCCTGCTTTCAGTGCATTGGAAATAGCCGCCATACCCTCTGCGGCGCCACAACAACGTGACGGCAGAGTGGGAGTGCATGCCACGAATATGCAATGCATGATCCGGTGGGAAAGTGGCTTTAGAATTGTGAATAAGGATTTAACGATATTGAATTAAAGTTGACAAATTCCCTCCAGAATCTAGAAACGGAGTTCTTCTGCGCCATCACACTCTTGATTGTCTAACATGTCATCAGAAATAACTAGTCAAATTTGAAATCTAGGTTTGATGTTCTTTCAATGCGTTTTATTTTATAATTTATTCTTTTCTGTCTTCTGGTACTTTCAGTGACTGTAGAAGGCATGTTGGAGGGACATGTATTTTATGAAAGAGAGCTGAAGTTTGAAGTGGGAGACGGGGACAGCTTCGACTTGCCCACTGGAGTCGAAAAAGCAATCATGGCAATGGAGCAAGGAGAGGAGGCCCGCTTCACTATTAAACCAAAGTATGACGTCTGAACTCATCATGGTATTATCGAGCCGCATTCGAGGCCACTGGGTCTTATGAGTTATTATTGTCATGATTCTGAAATTTAAAATATTCAACATTTAACATTTCTTACTGCTTCATACAATTCATGAGAGTAATTGCTCTTGTAATCATAGAATCTGAATGGCAGGTGTGCATAGATCCATACACTGTAAAAGGAAAAAAAATCCTGCTGGTGGCACAAGACTCGGTTTACCACATTGATTTGCTTTTTAAATGCATCTGTGATCATATCAGTGCTCTGGATGTATTTTTATTTTGTGTGCAGCAGAGATTTTGTGCACTGAGACCCCAATAGCACTGCCCAGCTTGGAGGGAACGTTGCTCAAGACTTTCTATGGACAAACAATGTGCATTATTTATTTAATAAAATGTAATATAACGCATGTGTAATGTTCAATTCATCAAAAGCATTTATTCCGGTTGTTTATTTGAATTGTAAAAGCGAAACCTTAAAATGTAACTATTAGCCTAGTTTAATCGGTTAAATGTGTCTTGCAGATATGGCTTTGGAACTACAGGAAATGAGAAGCTCGGTATTCCTGGTGGAGCAACGTTGGAATACAAAATTAAGCTAACAGCCTTTGAGAAGGTAGCTGAGCAAAGTAAACCTGTCTCTAGACTTCCTTGTGAGTGTGAATGAGATTTTTATTTTATTACGAAGGCTAAAGAGTCGTGGGAGATGAACACCTTGGAGAAACTGGAACAGAGCGCCATTGTGAAGGAAAAGGGAACGCAATATTTCAAGGTCTGGTTACTTATCGTTTATATATTTTCACACATAATGCTTTGATGTGACGTTACTGTTGTGCTACAGGAGGGCAAATACAAGCAAGCTTCAGTGCAGTACAAAAGAATAGTGTCGTGGCTGGAAAATGAGTCGGCTTTACAGGAGGAGGATGAGAAGGTGGCCAAAGCTCTGCGTCTGGCTGCACATCTCAACTTGGCCATGTGCTATCTAAAGATTCAGGAGCCCGGCCCGGCACTGGAGAACTGTGACAAGGCGAGAATATGCACACACACTCACGCAGGCACACACACACACACACACACGTGTGGCACCTTGTTCTAATTTTTTTATTGTTTGGGAGTAAAGCCATGTTTCAAGATCAGCTTTTGAGTAAGTCCAGATTCATGCTAACTGTAGTTCTGGAAGCGGTCTAAAGCGTTGCTTGCAGAAAAACTGATCATTTGCAGAGGCAGATCCTGTGAATAAAGTCCAGCCACATTCGCTGCATTGCTTCGTTTTTGGGCCAAATTGTGCCGTCACATATTAACACCCGATAACACGTTCTCCAAGTAACACTATTTTAAAAAACAAAAAATGTGAAAGGCGTTTTTAACAAAAAAAATTTAGACCAAAAATGATAAAGGATTGCAGATATGTACGTTTCTATTGCGCTATAGGGTTTTACAGTGCCGGCCACCTAGCTATGTCATGACTATATACTATAGTCTGATAAAGTATTTTGATTTTTCTGATATCAGGCTATGAACCTGGACTCCACAAATGAGAAAGCATTGTTCAGGAGAGGAGAGGCACTGTTTGCCATGAAGGAGTTTGACAAAGCCAAGGATGACTTCCAGAAGGTCATTCAGCTGTATCCTTCCAACAAGGCCGCCAAGAGCCAGGTACGGTTTTGTGCTGAAACGTGACTCTGGTGCTCTCCTACTTCTAACGCTCTCTCCAACTGTCGCAGGTGGCTCTGTGTCAAAAGAGCATGAAGGAGCAGCATGAAAAGGACAAGCGCATCTACGCCAACATGTTTCAGAAGTTTGCAGAGAGGGATTCAAAGGTACGGCTGCAGATGACTCTCTTCTGAACTGTTTCATTGGCAGTGATAGGCGTCACTGTGTCAGTTTTATCTTTTGGTCTCTGGTACTGTCACAACTGGTTTTCACATTAATGTATTTAGATCATACTTTTAGATAAGCTTTTCTTAACAGAAAACTGCTTTGTTGTTTGTGTTAACAGAAAGATAATAAGAGCGACCTCAAAAAGAGCGGCGATGAGTCCATGGACGTGGAGAACGGCGAAACTGAAGCCGCAGAGTAGCGTCTCTGCGTCCTAAGGACATTATGCGTGTTTGTCCATGCGCAACTTGTAGGTGGCCCGGCTCGAGTCCAGGAACCAAGCACTGACCCTGGGCACGTCTCCGCTTTTACATTGTGGCAGCTGTCTGACATGGGCAACACCAAATCAGAAATATGTGAAGGAAAAGGCAGCGCTTTGGAAACGTGTGCCGTATCACTGTCGGGGATTGGGAGCGGTCCATTCGGCAGGGCTGCGTGTGCATTTTGCTGACTGCTCACAAATCCCATTAAATTGAACTGTTTAGTGTATGCATATGTGTATGTGTGTTAATAAATATATATATATTTTATTATACACACACGCATATACATACAATGGTGTTCCTCATTTTGAATCAACTTTTGACAGCATTGCCGCCTGTTGCGTTTTCTTTCTGGTAAATGTAGTTTTGTATTGCGATGAATCCTGCAGCCCTCCCCTCAGCCATGTTCTTTGCTAAGGGCTAGACTTGTTTACTTGCACTACCATCTCGCCCTCCTTTCTGTCCTCTCCTTCTCCGAAATGGGCCTACCGATCAATTCCAGCAGACGGCTTTCGTTTATAATTTTTGTGTAATTTAAGACGTTGAGTGCCTGTTTCCCAAAGTACGTATGTAGCAGCAGTGTGGAGTTGGGATAAGTCTGCTGTTAGACTGTTCAACTTTTCGCTTAGATAATTTTGTATTCTTTCCCCAAGTCTGGTGGTTGTTCCTGAAATATGAAAGCTTAAACTGGAATGTGTACATAACCAGCAGTTGAAGATGTAATAAATGGCGAAATGTACAAGGAAATTAAGTGTGTGCTGATCTGTAATGTCTTTCTCATGCTTGAGTATTTTGGAAATATTGTCACAGCTATATGAAAAAAAACAATTTTAGACAATGTAGTAAGTTGTGAATCCTTTTTAATCCTTGTTCTACTCTCAAGTCAAAAGAACCTGCCACAGTGATTGAAAGTATTGATAAACCCTTAATTAAGACCTAAGAGGGTTTGAATGACCCGGGGCAGGTCAAGTTAGGAAAAAATACCAAAATTCAGCTCAAATTATTATTGAGGGTACTTTTTAATTAATTTGGTGGGTCAATGCAACTCAAGGTGACAAATAGAGCTATCCATATTTGTTTTATGCCCCAAAATGATTAAGTCTAAATTGCAATTTTATTTGGGGAAAAAAAACAAATTATTACATTTTTCAAAAACAATATAATTTGATCTTATGAGGATGGAGGTGGAAATGCAATTGACTTTGAAAAAATGAGAGGTATGTTGAAGGTTAAATGGCTGAAAATGTGTACAGGATCAATGCTCGATCTGGTCCTATGTTGACAATTTTATGCTTAAAAAGTTTGGTCTTGATTTTGTTGTGAACTGTTATTTTGATGTAACTAAACTGCCAGTGAATCTCTCAATTACCATCAGTAGGTCCTTCTATATTGGAAACTCCAGATTTGAACCAACGCTATGTGCTCATCCAAAGGAAATCAATATTCATGGAGGAGTGGTTTTCCAAAGGTATTTACCTCAGAAGACAGCTTCCTGTTATGCCAGAAATTCTGTGATACATTTAAATACATATTACTCTTCGAAAATATAAATAAATGATTAAGGCTCTCCCTAAATCACTATGCAATAAAACAAGACATCAATCACTCTCATGTTGTCCCGATAATGAGAAAACCTGCAATAGAAAATTCTCACAATCCTGCTTAAAGTTCTCACAATATAAATAAAAAATGGGATTATAGTCTTCAAGATTTTCAAAAGGGACAAATATAAAGAGATAACATGTCAATTTCATCATATCCCCTCACCTTTAAAACAAGAAATACAATTCAAAATTATAAATCCTTCCAATGAACATAAACACAGATTTAAACTATATTTAGTTTAAATCTTCAGACTAACTGAAGATTTGGATCATTTATTTTTCATGCGAGTCTGTAGAGGCAAATAACTCCATAAAACGTCTTGCATTCATGGACATTTTTTTAGTTAGTTTTGTCTTTCTGTATAATTATTATGTTATATACTGTTTTGTTTGAATTGTTTGCATTAATAAAAATAATATATATATTAAAAAAAATATATCATGTACGATGATACAACTGTATGACAAAGGAGTGGCCGCTAGGAGGTGCATGTTGACTGTGAGTCTAGAGAACACCAGTAGTTTGTGTTCTGTTCCTTACTATGGATGTAAGCTATTGCATCGTGACCAGAATAATATTTACAAAAACAGTCTTTGCACCGGTATAACCATAGACTGTAAGTAAACACCATGGTAAACACACGCTTTTACAATCCAAAATGAGGCTCTTAAACATGAAACGACGCAAGTTCGCTCTCTGAAGGTGAACTCCGATTTAAACCAAATAATCAATCAATCAATCTTATTTGTAGATGTATATTTGTACACAGGGCAACACAAAGCGCTTCACAGTCCACACCACACAGGGCACAAATCACATAAAACTAACACCAAAATTACCATTACAAACACTAAAACTAAAATCACAAAGGTACTGCGCAGTGCATTGAAAATAGAGGTTAAATCCTTCAGTTGTAGGCAGGCAACTTTAACATTGTCAGAGCAGACAACTGTTTCACATTTTCAGGAAGATTGTTCCAGTTTGTATTTGCATGAATCTGAAACGCTACCTCCCCATGTTTACTCTGTGCTCCACACACTCCGAGCCGGTTCATATGCCATGACATTGTGTTGCAAAATAATAACCAGAAGAATAGATCCATGAAGTAAATGCAGTCAAATTTGCACCTCTGGAAAAGTGTGGTATCTGATGTTTGAGTAGCTTATGTCACATTGTAGTTAATTTTACCATAGCTATCATTTCAATCAAAAGTGTGCGGGGAGGGAGCGCGGTCCTGGGGTGCTTGAGGAATCAGCTGCAGCAGGAGGAGCATCCCGTCATGAGCCGTCCCGTCACGGTGTCTGTCTGCTGAAGAGGCGCAGGTGGATGTGAGCGCGCTCGGACCCAAGATGTCTCTCACACACATTATGGTCAGGACCCCCCGGGAGTCCTGGCTTCTGCAACTGTCCCTGAGGGCTTTAAACGCGGTCAGAATGAAAACCGTGTTCCAGCTGCTCCTGGGAACAGCGTTGCTCTTCGCTTTCATGGCGCTCTATGGCGAATTTGGAAACTTTGCGATCTGTGAGTCACTTGTATACATTATTTTTGGGTTACAGTTTTCCAACACTGTGCTATTGGAATATTATTGTCTTAATAGAAGAATAAATGGTTAATTAATTACTCAACCACGCTGAATAAACAAACACATATCATTTTCATCATAGGTACACTTCAACTGTGAGAGACAGAATGTGAAAAAAATCCAGGAATTCACATTGTAGGAGTTTTAAAGAATTTATTTGTAAATTATGGTGGAAAATAAGTATTTGGTCACTTCAAACAAGGAAGATCTCTGGCTCTCACAGACCTGTAACTTCTTCTTTAAGAAGCTCTTCTGTCCTCCACTTGTTACCTGTATTAATGGCACCTGTTTGAACTCGTTATCTGTATAAAAGACACCTGTCCACAGCCTCAAACAGTCAGACTCCAAACTCCACTATGGCCAAGACCAAAGAGCTGTCGAAGCACACCAGGAAAAAGAATTGTAGACCTGCACCAGACTGGGAAGAGTGAATCTACAATAGGCAAGCAGCTTTGTGTGAACAAATCAACTGTGGGAGCAATTATCAGAAAATGGAAGACATACAAGACCACTGATAATCTCCCTCAATCTGGGGCTCCACGCAAGATCTCATCCCGTGGGGTCAAAATGATCATGAGAACGGTGATCAGAAATCCCAGAACCACACGGGGGGACCTGGTGAATGACCTGCAGAGAGCTGGGACCAAAGTAACAAAGGTTACCATCAGTAACACACTACAAGGGACAGGGAATCAAATCCTGCAGTGCCAGATGTGTCCCCCTGCTGAAGCCAGTGCATGTCCAGGCCCGTCTGAAGTTTGTATAAACTCAATTCTTCATGTTTGGAGGAAGAAGAATACTGAGTTGCATCCCAAGAACACCATACCTACTGTGAAGCATGGGGTTGGAAACGTCATGCTTTGGAGATCTTTTTCTGCTAAGGGGATAGGACGACTGATCCGTGTTAAGGAAAGAATGAATGGGGCCATGTATCATGAGATTTTGAGCCAAACCCTCCTTCCATCAGTGAGTGCTTTGAAGATGAAACGTGGCTGGGTCTTCCAGCATGATAATGATCCTAAACACACCGCCCGAGCAACGAAGGAGTGGCTCCGTAAGAAGCATCTGAAAGTCCCTCCACAATTAAACTCCCTCCACAATTAAACTCTGTGGAGGGAGTTGAAAGTCCGTCTCGAGAAGATCTGCATGGAGGAATGGGCCAAAATACCAGTTACTGTGTGTGAAAACCTGGTAAAGACCTATAGAAATCGTTTGACCTCTGTTATTGCCAACAAAGGTTATATTACAAAGTATTAAGTTGAATTTTTGTTATTGACCAAATACACATTTTCCACCATAATTCACAAATAAATTCTTTAAAAATCCTACAATGTGAATTCCTGGATTTTTTTTCACATTCTGTCTCTCACAGTTGAAGTGTACCTATGATGAAAATTACAGACCTTTGTCATTATTTTAAGTAGGAGAACTTGCACAATCGGTGGCTGACTAAATACTTTTTTGCCCCACTGTATGTATAATACAGCTCACTAAACTGCGTGCGCAAAAGGGTTTGTGTGTATCTCCGCCGTTCTAACTAATGGGCCAAAGAATATGCTCTACTGGAGCTATCCAAAATGGCCGAGAGTGGTCCCGCCCACAAGAAAATTGTGAAAAAACGCATCTGCGCATGCGTCAGCCGGCGAGAGCTCCATTCATTTGAACGAGAGACTTCAAAAATTCACAGCGAGTAAACTAGAGTGGACCAAAAAAATTCACCCCCCTCAGCATTGACACACATGTGGAACGGAGCTTTGGGCCAAGAGCCAACTTTTGGTCCATCCTGTAAAGACGTTTTTGACAGGTCTGCCAATGCTATTTTTTAGCATTGGCTAATTCTACTTCTGGGTCCACCCCCAACGGCCCGGGGTGGTATTGCAAGCATGTCAGCGCACGTCATTTTGGCCACTTTTGAGCTACGAACGACCCGCCCCCGTGACGAAAACAAAACTAGCCGGGAAGCGCCGCGCGGTCTCTTCTGCTCTGTTTTTTTCTCTTACAGAGGCCACCTTTGTCCTCTGTTCACTACGTTTTCCGCCCGTGAGCTGGCCTCACGCGAACGACCCAGGCCAGCGTCGTTACCTCCTCTGAACTCTGCTCAAGCCAAACCTGGAGAAACTGCCCTTCTTCCCCTGGCGTAACAACAAGCCGGACGGGACGCTACGCTACACAGCCTGTCTGCTACTGAGAACAACAACAAAAGACACATGTTTCTTCAGAGACCTCCGGGACCAAAGGCCGGACCGCGTACTCGTTTTATCAAGAAAGGAACGGGACTAGAGCCATCTTCACACACGGACTGCTCTTCCAGCTACGCTTCGACCAGTAAGATGTATCGTGTCTGTTAATGTGTTTTTCTGTGTCTGCTTTGGTATAGTGCATTGTCCTGACTCGGGACTCACACAAATAATCTATAAATGCTTTGAAGGATCGTTCTGTAAATAAACAGCTAGAATTACTATCAGCCTCCTTTGTTATTAGTTAGCAATTTGAACGATGAATTCCCTGGCGAATAGAACGCACACTTTAGATAGATAATGAGACTGTCATCATTGCAGCTAAGATAAGTGGGCATATGGAACAATTCATGAGCACAGCACAGAAGGGCATTGGTTGAGACACCAGAGGAACCAAACACCAGCTCCTGGTTGACAGAACAGTCGCCCAAGACTGCCGGTCACGACACACCAACCTGTGCACAGCCTGGATTGATTACCAGAAAGCCTACGACTCAATGCCACACACATGGATCATGGAATGCTTGAAGTTGTCCAATATCAACAGAGCTCTATGGGACTTCATTGCAAACTCAATGGAGCTGTGGAAGACCACCCTTGAGGCAAATGGCAAGCCGCTCGCACGAGTAACCATCAAATGTGGCATCTACCAAGGGGACTACTGTTCTGCATAGGCCTGAACCCTCTAGGCCAGGGGTCTCAAACCGGTTCCAGAAAAAGCCATGTGGCTGCAGGTTTTACTTCCAACAGTTCCAGACTGAGCAGGAGCACAGATGACTTCACCCATTTCCTCAAATCTTCAGGTTAAAACTGGACTCACCGGTTTGATAAGATAAGATAAACCTTTATTAGTCTTGAGACCCCTGCTCTAAGCCAAATAATCGACCAGACTGGCTATAGATCCCGCCTCAGTAACAATCAGGTGGCCAAAGGAAGAGATTCAGGCCACGGATGTTAAAACTCGAAAGCTCAATGACTGGAGCAGGGATTCGCACATCAATACCTACAGATTGGGTATGTCGGAGGAGAGGCCTGTATAGCCTAATGTGATAGAGAGAAAGAATCCCTCACACCTTCTTACTTGCAAATTAAAAATTATCTATTTGAAGTGCGACGTTCACTGTTTGCTTGATGAAGGCATAGCGCAGAAACGTCGCACTTCAAAGATGAGGAGGTGCTGGAGGAGAGCCCATCATGGGAGGACAAGCCCCTACACGGCATGTACCACCGGAGCATAACAGAAGTGGCTGATCTAAAGAAGTCCTACCAATGGCTAGAAAGGACTGGCCTACAGGACAGCACAGAGGCACTCATGGCTATTCAGGACCAGGCCCTGAGCACCAGAGCGATAGAGCTACATGTAGCTCTATAGTCAGTCGGTTGTGTTTACATCTAAAACCACAAGAAAAAAATGCATTGCTTTTTTGTTAAATGAAAAAATCTTTACCTTACCTTCAAAATGTCTGAAATTGATGAATTTTTTAGCTATTAAAACAATCTATGGGCTGGAAACAAGAGAGAGCGATCACGTTTGCAACAAGTAATCCAATATGGCAGCGTGATTTGATGCCCACCTTTTTGAGAAAACTACCCACAATGCTGTGCGGTCGAGCCTCTTAATGCATGTATGGTCACGCCATCCACGTTCAAATCATGGATCTATAATAATAACTGGATAGGGTATTACTAGTTTAGAGCTGTCCCACCCACGGGCACATGGGGCACCCGTGGTACTACAGATTAAATTCACGTGGGCTACCCAGAAAAAAGTCCCATAGAACTCAATGTAAATTAAAACAGCTCGACCTCAGCTGACAGAGAACCTACAGCTTTCAAAAATATCGGCTTTTGTGGGGATTTTAGTGTCCCTTGTCATCCTGAACTTTTTTCTTTAAATCCTTCGCTTTTCTTTAAATCCACACTTTACTGCCACAAACTCTGCTCCTTTCCTTCCCGCTCTGATTCCGCTCTGCTGCTGCTCTGATGAGCAGCTCCGATTGGTCAGAACGCGGCCGAGCCCCTCTGTGCGCATGCATGAAAGCCACACACGCACGTTTGGCACAACGCATCATGGGAGATAATCCACTGCGCCGGGAGGACCAGACGATGCCCAAATATAGGCGAGTTCTGCTAATCTCCCGGTCTCCGTGAAGTCCCATGCGCTACTGAGCACAAGCCATTCATTTGAATAGGAAGCCATCTTGGATCACCGGGGCTTGGTTCAAATGTGTCCATATTGTGAGACTTGAGCTCTGTATACAGTTAGCCTGAGCAGAGGCTGAGGGGGAGGGGGGTAGTGGGGGGGCGAAAGCTCCGTGCGGGAAGGGCGAGTAGAGAGCGCAAGCTAATCGTTCTCATTCGAAAATTTCTCAAAGTCAGTTAGTGCAGCTTTAAACACAGAATATTTGGACATTGCCTTATGCTTTGTCATAGCAAAGAAAAGTCTTCAACCACGGTGGCTGAGTGGATAGCACTCTCGCCTCTCAGCAAGAAGGTCCTGGGTTTGAATCCCGGTCGGACCAGGAGTGGAGTTTGCATGTTCTCCCCGTGTCTGCGTAGGTTTCCTCCGGGTACTCCGGTTTCCCCTACCACTAAAAATATGTCCAATAGGCATGTCTGGCATGCGCCTCCTGTACTGGCGACCCCGCTCCCATCTCTGTGTGGAGTGAGAGACAAATGCGCATAATTAACAATTGTAAACC